CCAGTCTCCCCAGAGGTTAATCCCCACCCCTCAGTTTTCAAAAATAGAAAGTCTCTTTATTTAACAACCCACGTGTCATTTATTTTTTACATCAGGAAGGGGGACTAGGGAGGGGTAAGTGGAAGGAGGTGAGGGAGGAATGGGGCACGAGCCCCCGATGGGGAGGACTGGGGTGGCTCTGCGGGCTCTTCAGGGTGGAAGCTCTCCTTCAGGGCTGCCTGGATCCCCCCAATTGATCCCCTTGGATGGCAGGCTGCGGCAAGTGCAGCCGGGCTGATGGCCGAGTGCTGTGATGTGCCAAGTGTGGGCACTCAGGGCACTCCAAGACAGGACTGCTTAGCTGTCCCTCATCGAGGTAGACAAGCAAGCGGGGAACCCTGAGAACTGTCTGTCCCGGGTGGGAGTCGGGTTCCTTTAAGCACAGCCCTCGGCTAGCCTGAGACAGCAGCTCCACACTTTAAGTCCTAACCTGATGCCCTGCTGGCACTGCTTCTGGCCATCCTTAACTTTGGTTCAGGGTCCACTCAGTGTGGACATGCTATTCTGAATTAGCAAAACACTAATTCAAATTAGTTTTTAGGTCTAGATGAACTAGTTCGAATTAGCTTAGTTAGAATTAACTAATTCGAATTAAGTTAGTTCGAATTAGTGCTTTAGTGTAGACATATCCTCAGTGCTTTGTACAATGGTAAAGCCAGCCTGGTACATTGAGGTAAGATGAGTATGCTCGTGAGTTCGTGTTTGGTCTCTGTTACATCAGAAAGTTTTATGGCAAGTGTGTCTGCTACACTTCTAAAGAAATCTTCGAATGTTCTGAAGTCATCCCCTCTGATTGATGACACGGGGAGACTGTGTTCCTCCGTCATGCAATAGGAATTATTGGGCGGAAAAGAGGAAGCCTGAGTTGCATGCTCCATAGATGACTCGCTGTCATGGTCAGTTTGGTCCCAGTCAGCTCATCTTTGGATATTCGTATGAACTGATTGTGCCCCAGGGACCTGCATAGTGTGTTGAAACTGTTGGGTACGGTAAGGCACCCAAGGGTCCCAATGGGGGGGGCATCGGTGGAGGCATCCACTGTGCCAACTGCCACTTCTCCATTTGCTGTTGTTGTGGTTCTGCATACAGAACCACTGTTGCTGGTCCATTGACTGCTCTTCCTTGTCATCACTAAATCTGGAGGATGTTTGTGAGGCTGGTGTTGAGGAGAACAGGGAACCACTAGCCCATGGGGTGCCATCGGTACAAAATAGTAGTGAGCATGGTACCGATCTTACTGCGAGGTCTGCCTCTGTCAAGAATCTCAGTACCAGAGTATGCAGAGGCATTGCCATATAGTTCCATACAGCTGCCTGCATCGGTACCTGTGAGGGGGTCACTCACCACCGTAGCGGGGGTCCGTCGTCTGTCCCCGGAATCAGTCCATTCCGCCCGCACGGGCCTCCGCTCACGTGGGGTTCCCCCTCTGGAATCCTCCGGTCACGTCGTTCTCTTCCCCACACTGCCCTCCGGGGGATTGGTGTCTCTCCGGCAGGCCTTACTTCAGGCCTAGCAAGCTGGCCGTTTGTCTGTCCGAGCGCCCCCTGGCCCAGCCTTGACTCTCTAGCCCTGCCCTAACTCCAGGGAGCGTCCTGCTCCCCCGGCAGCCAGGCTCACACTCCCTTCTCTGAAGCAGCCCTTCCCTTTTATGGCTCCCAGCTGGGCCTTAATTGGCCAACGCCGCCCAGCTGGGCTGAACTCCCCGGCCCTGCTCCAGGCTGGGGTTTGACTCTTAAAGGGCCAGTACAGGGCAGCTGCTCTGTTACAGTACCGTTGGAGCTTTGAAGTGCGTCAGTATTGGTGGTACAAGCGTTTGTTCAATTCCACTGCTCTGCAGCTTACCGGCTTGCTTGCTCCTCTGTGGTACCATGTCTCCCTCTGGTACTGCATTACTGTATGGAGAGCCTGAAGTGTGGCCAGCAACTCCATGCTTCATATTAGGGTCATGGCTTTTCTTTAAGCCAGATCCCTTTATCCCACTTTTGGGAGCCCTGCCTGGTGGCATTCTTATCAGTCTCCTTTGACTTTTTGTTTGCTAGAGGCTGAGGCTCAGCGGGGGATCAGGAGTGTATCAGGAGTGTATTGCGCTTCACTTCGGGTCCTGCTCTTTAGCACATCCCTGTGAGGGAGTGCTCCTTCTGCCCTCCTCCCCAAGGGTATGTCTACACTACCCCGCTAGTTCGAGCTAGTGGGGTAATGTAGGCATACCGCAATTGCAAATGAAGCCCGGGATTTGAATTTCCCAGGCTTCATTTGCATAAGCCGGGTGCCGCCATTTTTAAATCCCGGCTGGTTCGAACCCCATGCCGCGCGGCTACACGCAGCACGAACTAGGTAGTTCGAACTAGGCTTCCTAGTTCCTATAGAACTAACTATACTACAAGGAGAGGGGCTAACTGGGAGGGAACTAATACTTGAAAAGCTTCAAAATCTCCTCAAGTTAAAAACGACTGCGTTCCAACTCCGTCCGCGGCCGTGGACGGGTTAGGAGGAACTGGCGATAGACTGTGCTGCGCAGAAAAAGGGCGCGAACGGCGCAAGGCAGCCTCTGCGCATTCGCAGTCCACCGGGGGCTACTGCTGGCTAAAACTCTCTGGATTGCAGCGTCAGGACGAGCCCAACACCTGTAGTAGAGCACCCACACGGACACTACTCGAAGAAGAATCTTGGGTTTTCGTAGCATTTAACTGGTTAACCAACTAAAGTGGTATCCTAGACTGGGGACTGTTCCAGCCTGGCTAGAGCAGCCCCCCGCCATCCACAGGTTCCCACCCCAACCTCAATGGGGCTTGGTCTGTCACCAGCTACCCAGCTCCCATACCCTGCTGGAGCAGCACCTGCCGAAGGGCACCCAGGCTCCTCACAGACAGAGGTTGCTCTGTGGGAACAGCTGCTGCATATGAGGTGCCTGGACTCTATGCTTTCACATTGCTAGTTATAAAGAGGATGGTGATCTATTTTTCTCCATGTCCCCAGAAGGTAGTACAAGAAGTAACAGACTTAACCTGCAGCAAGGAAGTTTGGTTTAGGTTAGATACTTGAAAGATTTTCCTAACAATAAAGGTAGCTAACCCTAGAACAGGCTTCCATGTGAAGTTGTACAATCCTCATAACTGGAGGTTTTTAAGAACAGGTTGGATGGACATGTATCAGGGATGGTCTAAGGTTACTTGATCCTGCCTCAGAACAGGGGCCTGGACTAGATGACCTCTTGAGATCCCTTCCACCCCTACATTTCTATGATCTGATGAAACCTATAAAACAGAAGTAAAAATGCCAACCAGAAGCTTTGATTTCATATTATGGGTACTAAAACATATAACTGAAATCATACTACAATTATTTTTAATAAACACTTGCATAGACATGTAAAATGGGGGTGCTGCAGCACGCGCACACACACACACCCTCCATGGTATAATATAAGTTCCTGTCTGCCAGCCCTGACCCTAGGATCCCAGCCCCAGCTTTGGCCCCCTTATCACTGTCTAGGTCCCCTCTTCTGGAGATGCAACACTACTTCTGGTCTTTCAGCATCCCTACTACTAAAAATACTCCAGCACCACTGTTCACTTGTAGACTACTTGATAATAAACCACCTGAATCATTGCAGTAGTATTTGGGTTGTAAATAATAATTTTAATACTCTTATAAAAAAAGTAATGGTGTGACTGAACTCTGGCAAGAAGAATCCAAGTACATGAAAATTTGAGAGCCAAAAAATAGTTGACAGTGACTAAAGTGATATAGTATTTAAAAAACTAGTTCGAAAATTATTTTTGCGTATGTTTTCAATCAAAAAGGAAATGGGAACCAATCATTTAAGCATGTATTTTAAAATATAGTCTTACTCTTCTCTTGGATACCACCATATTATTACAGGCTTCTGTTTTGTCTTCTAAAAACCCTGTCCCTGAAAAACATTGCAAAATCAATAAAAACACTCATTATTATTCTTGGCAGGTAGAGTATAAATTATTGTAATAGTGGTTTGTTTTCATCATTAAAATATACAATGGTATAGTCAATTGATTTAGTAGGTTACAGTAATGTTACAATAATCAAAGAGTTTGTATGACTCTGACTTTCACAACAGAGGTCCTCTTGTGGGTACAATTTCTAACTACAAATAAAAGTTGGGCTCTTCACACTGTGTTACTAGAAAAATATTTACTACAGCAAAATAAACTATACATATGAAGGTAGAAACAAAGATGGATTCTTCTTGAATAAGTTTACGAACCAAGTTGTGAAACTGTTCTCGAAGGTATACTGCATTATAAAACTGCCATTTTAAAATTTTCTTTTTAACAAGCAATGCATTAACTTTAACTATAACTTCTACAGTTTCTTAATAGATTATTCAAATATCATCTTTTTAGGATATCTTTATGCAATCTGATATAGATATTAAGCTTTCATTATGAGCACTGTATGTTTCTCTTCCCTAAAACAAGTATTCATTATTTAAACATTCCATCTCAGATGTGATCACAGTCAGACTTCTAAATGTAAAAGGTGGGCCAAAAAGTAATGTAACGTCCTGCCATGTAATGCACAATAGGTATATTACTTATATATCTATAGTGTATTCACTTGAGTTGTTGCCTATACACTCAATTTTGAGTCTGAGGAACAGAACAGCATAACTGAATATTTTTTTTTTAATTTATTTATAAAAGGCTGCATATACTTCTCTACAATCTAAGGAATATTATTTACAAAGTATATAAGAACTTTAACCTTTCCATAATAGATTTCACTAGTGAAAATATGCCCAGTATAAAACAGTAACAGTCCAGACATTTTTGTTTACAAATGTGTTTACAAAGTCTGTAGCTTGCAGTTTATTTTTAAACTACTTAACCATAACAGGCCAAATGTCTTTTTCTTTTACTTTCCAGCTTTCATAGCCTCCTATCAGAAGAACTGATAGTTTTAACAAAGTATGCCTTTTCTATCTGTTACAGCTAAGTCTATCTTCATTGGGTATCAGCAAAACACAGACAACTCACTGTTCAGACAAGTAAGTAGGCCAACCATAGAGAGCGCTGAACACATTCTCCTTGATCCAGAGACCCAGCAGATTTTGGTCTACCTGGGCCCATGTTTTCATCTATTTTGCAACAAGCAAAGATGGGTGTCTAGAAGCATCTCAAAGCAGAGTTCCAAAACTAAATAAGATAGGGGCATGTCTACACAAGGAAATTATTTTGCAATCCCCTTCTGGCAGAAGGAGACCAGTTCAGATTGGTGGGACCACATCATCCTGCAGTGATGGGACGACCAGCAGTGGCTGCAGAACTTCCGCATGCAGAAGTCCACCTTCCTTGACCTGTACAAGTGGCTCACCCCTTCCCTCAGGTGACAGGACACCTGCATGCTCCCTGCCATCCCCATGAATTAACGCCTTGCCAATACACTCTAGAAGTTCTCCATGCCAGAAAGCTACCACTCTGTCAGGAACCAGTTTGATGTGGGGAAATCCACAGTAGGAGCCATGTTCATACAAGTAGCGAAGGCCAACAGCAGGAAGGCCATAGACAGCACAGGGACAATCGTCTTGAAGAACCTCTGTTAATGAACAGGGTGAGTAACCTCCTCTTCTTCTTCAAGGACTTTCCCTGTGGGTGCTCCACTTTAGGTGACTATAGAATAGTACCCATAATGGTAAGGCAGGTGCTTCAGCTAAATGCTGTGTTGGACCTTGGTCAGGACCGTATGTCTAAATTTAGTGCCCTATTTTAGGTAATTATCGAGCACATAATCTCTGGCGAAGGTGTACGTGGAAGACCAAGTTACAGCTCTGCATATGTCTGAGAGGAATGTTACTAAAGTAAGCTGTACAGGTTTCCATGGCCCTCATGGAGTGTGCCCGCAACAGAAGTGAAGGCTCCTGGTTAAAACTGGTGTAATCCAGGCAGATGCAGTCTCAAATCCATCTGGATAGTCTCTGGGTAGAGATTGCATGCCCAGGGATCTTTCAGCAGTGGAGATGAAAAGTCTGTTTCTATCCTTTCCAAATAGAAGGCAATTGCTCAACGCACATCAAGCGTGTGCCATTTAGCTTCTTCAGCGGTGACATGAGTGGAAAGAAGACTAGTGGAAAGAAGACAGGTAACACCACAAGGAAATAAATAAGAAAGTAAGTATATTCGGTGGTAACTTTGGGTGTGGTTGCAGAATCACCCTATCCTTATGAAATATTGCAAATAGTGGGTCAGCCATTAGTGCCCCAATTTCGCTCACCCTGCTGGCTGGTGTAAGAGCGATCAGCAGAGTCATCTTCATTGAGAGGTGAAGCATTGAGCATGTAATCATAGGGTCTAATGGTATATGGGTGAGAGCACGAAGTACCAGATTGAGGTCCCAGAATTGGGGTTTTAACTGGAGGTTGAACTGGGGTTTTAACTGGCAGGAATGTGTTTTGAATGCCTTTTAGAAAGCACAAAGTTGTTGGGTAGGCAAATACTGATTTGTTTTAAATGGATTGCAAGGTGTACTTTCGCTAGCTTGTGAGGGGTACTGTTATGGCGGCGAGGTGTCTTTTCAATTAACTAAATGAAAGACCTGAGCATTTTAGGTTTAAAAGGTACTCTAATATATCAGATAGTGGGATTGTTGATGGATTCATGGATCTCTGACCTACCCAGAGGGAGAATCTGCTCCACTTGTGGAGGTAAGACTTTCTTGTTACTCTGTGACTACTTATTAAGATCTGTTTGACTTGATCTGTAAATGTTGCTTCTACTGAAGAGAGCCACTGAGGAACCATGCCCAGGGATCTGGAGGGATGGATTCCAGATTTGACCATCTCTACATACCTGCTCCACATGTCCATGAGACCTTCATGGCGTCTCCCAATAGTTCCCCATCTTCTAGCAGGTAAGTCTAGAAGGTCTGTCGTGGCCATGCTAGATCAATAAGTATTACTAATGCTGCATCTGCTCTTATCTTGTTGATCACCTGGTGAAGAAGTGGGATCGGAGGAAACACATATAGAAGGGATGCATTAGAAGGTATTGTAAATGCATCTCCCAGGGAGTGTAGCCCAATGCAAGTCTCATTGTTTTCTCAAGCAATAGAAGTTTCAGTTGAAGCTCCCATGCCTTCCGCGTGCGAGCTGTTAACTGTCTGAAAAGCTGACACTGTGCGGTAGCATGTGCCTGACCCAAACAGCGCACATACTTGGAATGATTGACAGAGACAGGAATAGATAACCTGAAGGAGAAGCAACGTTTGACTCCTGGGGAACCAGGCAGCCCATGTAGTAAGAGTCTGTGAGGCCAAAAAACAGTAGCTGTATAACAGGAGAAAAGAGGTTGTTGGGTTTTTTTGAAGAAAAAACTTTAACTATAAACTAGAAAGAACTGTAACACTAACTAACTATGTGAGTAACAAGACAATTTTCAAAATTTTAAAGTACTTTAAAAGAAATTGGAGAGCAACTGTGGTTCCGATCGATGCCGGCGGCAACAGAGAAGAAACTGAAGGGATGGTTGGCTGCACAAGTGTGGTAGCAGCACTACATGTGCTGTCTGCTTCGCATGCACAGCCTACCGGAGGGCACAGCTACTGTAAATTTCCAACTTGGTGCGCATAGGCACCTCAAAGACCTACGGTGGAGCACCCACAGGGTCACTTCTCTGTATAGACAAAAGGAGCGGGACTATAGCTATAAATGGGCAGTAAGAAGCTGAACAAAATTTTTAAAAAGAACACTTTCACTAGACTCCAAGAAGCAGAATTTTGTCTGAGACAAAAGACAAAGTCTTCAAAATATCAGATGCATCAGCTGCATTTTGGCAGATCTCCTGGGACACTGAGGGTGTGTCTAAACTACACCTCTCTGTTGACAGAGAGATGTAGATCAGGCACATCGAAATTGCTAATGAAGCAGAGATTTAAATATCCCTCACGTCATTAGCATAAACATGGCTGCCACTTTTTTCCGAAACAGAGTTTTTTAAAAAAAAAAGATAGTCTAGACATGGAGCTGTCGAAAATAAACCCTTTTTCAACAGTTCCTGTAAACCTCATTTTTTAGGAATACAGGATCTGTCAAATAAGGGTTTATTTTCGACAGATCTGCATCTAGACTGCCATTTTTTTTTAAAAAACTCCATTTAAAAAAAAGAGGTGGCCATGTTTATGCTAATGAGGCATGGGATATTTAAATCCCTGCTTCATTTGCAATTTCAATGTGCCTAATCTACATCTCTCTGTCCACAGAGAGGTGTAGTCTAGATGTAGCCTGAGAACACCAATATCTAAACTTTCAATGTACCACTACTTGGCAGATTCTGCTTCCAAAGACTGCTTCTGGAGTATGTTAAATACCAGAACTACTTTACAATACAATAATCCAGACACAAGAGGGCCAAACAGGTGTTAATGTGCACATTGATGACATCATGTGGGGCAGTGCAGTCACTGCACACTGAGAAGAGTACTGCAAGTGCTAATACCTTAAATTGAGTAAGTCCAAATGTCAATTTCAAACAAAGGAAATAACATACTTGGGAGAGAGACTGACCTCTAAGGGAATCTTGCCTGATGAATTAAAGAGTCAAGCAAGACTGATCATGCAGAGACCTGAAAATAAAAAGGGAATTCAAAAGCTGTCAGGCATGTTGATTTATGTCATCAAGTTCAAGCTTAAATAGTGAGCTTGCACAACTCACCTAAGACATCTCTCCACAAGGTCACCAAATGGGCATGGATGCCAGATCATAGAAGAGAATTCAATGATTTAAAGCAAATTCTATTAGCTCTGGAGTGCAGTTTTTGACCCAGTGAAAGACATCACATTCTCAATAGATGCTTTGAAAGGAGGGCTGGGACCAGTACTATTATAGTGTCCTGGAATGGACTGCTTTCCAGTCTCAAATGCATCTAACGCTATGACAGCCATAGAGAATTTATGCACAATTTGAAAAAGATGTGCTAGGTCTGGTGCATGTATGTATAAAATTTCATGACTTTCTCTATGGTGGTAGCTTCAAAGCAGGAGCTGATCACAAACCATTGCTTGTAATAAAAAAAAAAGGATTTTGTAGAAGCACCATCAAGGATTCAACAATTGCTTCTGAAAGTACAGAAAAGTATGATGCCTTTCTAGAGTTCCAACATGGATACCACTTAGTAATGGCAGACAAACTATCAAGAGCATATAGGCCATGTGACAATACACAGCTGGGTGATCTAGAATAAGTACTAAGCATACATGTGAATGTGATAAAAACATGTGCTGTACCTACAAGCATATGGGATGAACTGGAGACAAAAATAGCTAAAGATGAAATGCTGCAAGTAATAATAAAAGTGATAAGGAGGAAAAGATGAGCTTTTAGTGATTTCTGGCACATTCTTGAAAGGAACATTGATTGTCATTCCCACAGTGATGAGAAGGAAAATATTTAGAATAAATACATGAAGGGCACTTTGAATGACTACATCAAAAAGTAGAGCTAGAGAAATTGAATTCTGACCACGGATAAATAGTGACATTCAAGAAATGATGAGGAATGCTGTGGCACATTAAAGACTAACAGATTTATTTGGACATAAGTTTTTGTGGGTAAAAAACATTGTGTCAGATGAAAGTCCACACATCTAAGAAAGTGTTTTTTTCCCATTAAAGCTTATGTTCAAATAAATTGGTTAGTCTTTAAGGTGCCACAGTACTCCTCACTGGTTTTGTAGATAGAGACTAACATGATTACCTCTTTGAGAACTGAAAAAATGGCAAGCAAGTGTGGGTCATGTCAGAAATACAGAGATTCTCAGCAGAGAGAACCAAGGATATTATATAAATAACTCACAATTCCTTTGGACAAAATTGGAACTGACATATTCTGCTTGGAAAGAACACAATCATCTGGTTGTAATGGACTACTAAGGGGCTGCACCCCCTGCTCACTACACTTGCCCACTCCCCTCTTTCTGGGGATAAGCAGCCCCGGCTCTCCCCTCGCTGCTTCATTTTCTTATGCCAGGTAGCCTAATCTATATGCCTCTGGCGACAGAGGCACGTTGTCTAGACATACCCTTAGACAAACTTCCTGTTTTTCTTAATGTATAGCTAAGCGATTTTACTAGAGATTTGGGCCTCAGGAAGGATACAGGGTCAAGCTGCCCTCTCTGTGACACCCAAACTCCCTTTTTTTCCTGAATGTGGTCTAGCTCTAATTTGGGCCTGTTAGCTTGGTTGCTAAAGTTTAAACAGAGCAATAGTGGTTCAGGGACATTACTGGATTTGCAAAAATCTCCCCGTAAAGGGCGGGAAGGGGGGAGGGAATGGATTGAGGGGGGTGGAAGGGAAGAGGCAGGCAGAAACAAATTTTTATATGTATAGATCAGACCAGTTTCCCAGAAGTCATCACACTTAAAGATACCACAGCATCAGCTGTTGTCAGGCACATTAAATCTGTATTTGTATGTCACAGAATACAAAAAATAGTCATAACTGACAATGGACCACAGTTCAAAAATAGTGAATTTTTGGATTTTGCTAAAATGCATGACATTTAGAGCCCATAGTCCAGCCAATGGATTAGCTGAATTTAGACGATGTATAGACTCACAGACCTCAAGGCCAGAAGGGACCATTATGATCATCTAGTCTGACACCCTGCACAACGCAGGCCACAGAATCTCACCCACCCGCTCCTGGAATAATCCTCTCACCTATATCTCAGATATTGAAGTCCTCAAATGATGGTTTGAAGACCCCAAGATGCAGAGAATCCTCCAGCAAGTGATCCATGCCGCATGCTACAGAGGAAGGCGAAAAACCTCCAGGGCCTCCGCCAATCTACCATGGATGAAAATTCCTTCCTGACCCCAAATATGGCGATCAGCTGAACCTTGAGCATGTGGGCAAGACTCACCAGCCAGACACCTAGGAAAAGTTCTCTATAGTAACTCCTATCACCCCACCATTGGCCTATTTACCACCGATAGTGAAAGGTCAGTTAGTTGCCAAGATCATGTTATCTCATTAAACCATCCCCTTCGTAAACCCATCTAGCTTAATCTTGAAGCCAGAGAGGTCTTTTGCCCCCACTACTTCCCTTCGAAGGCTGTTCCAGAACTTCACTCCTCTAATGGTTAGAAACCTTCGTCTAACTTTGAGTCTAAACTTCCTGATAGCCAGTTTATATCCATTTGTTCTTGTCTCCACATTGATATTGAGCTTAAATAATTCCTCTCCCTCCCTGGTATTTATCCATCTAATATATTTAAAGGGAGCAATCATGTCTCCCCTCAGACTTCTTTTGGTTAAGGTAAACAAGCCAAGCTCCTTGAGTCTCCTTTCATAAGACAGGTTTTCCATTCCTCGAATCGTCCTAGTGGCCCTTCTTTGTACCTGTTCCAGTTTGAATTCATCCTTCTTAAACATGGGAGACCAGAACTGCACACAGTACTCCAAATGAAGTCTCACCAATGCCTTGTATAACGGCACTAACACCTCCTTATCTCTACTGGAAATACCTCACCTAATACATCCCAAAATTGTATTAGCCTTTTTCACGGCCATGTCACATTGGCGGCTCATAGTCATCCTGTGATCAACCAGGACTCTAAGGTCCTTCTCCTCTTCCGTCACTTCCAACTGATGTGTCCCCAGCTTATAACTAAAATTCTTGTTATTAAACCCTAAGTGCATAACCTTACACTTCTCACTATTAAATTTCATCCTATTACTATTACTCCAATTTACAAGATCATCCAGATCTTCCTGTATGATATCCCGATCCTTTACTGAATTGGCAATACCTCCCAACTTTGTGTCATCTGCAAACTTTGTTAGCACACTCCCACTATTGATGCCAAGGTCAGTAATAAAAAGATTAAATAAGATTGGTCCCTAAGCTGATCCCTTAGGAACTCCGCTAGTAACCTCCCTCCAACCTTATAGTTCACCTTTTAGTATGACGCGCTGAAGTCTCCCCTTTAACCAGTTGCTTATCCACCTCTCAATTTTCATATTAATCCTCATCTTTTCCAATTTAACCAATAATTCCCCATGAGGTACTGTATCAAATACCTTACTGAAATCGAGGTAGATTCGATCCACTGCATTTCCTTTATCTAAAAAATCTGTTACTTTCTCAAAGAAGGAGATCAGGTTGGTTTGGCACGATCTACCTTTTGTAAAACCATGTTGTAATCTATCCCAATTGCCATTAACCTCAATGTCCCTAACTACCTTATACTTCAAAATTTTTTCCAAGGCCTTGCATACTACAGATGTCAAACTAACAGCCTGTAGTTACCCAGGTCACTTTTTTTCCCTTTCTTAAAAATAGGAACTATATTAGCAATTCTCCAGTCAAATGGTACAACCCCTGAATTTAGAGGTTCGTTAAAATTTTTTACTAATGGACTTGCAATTTCATGTGCCAGTTCTTTTACTATTCTTAGATGAAGATTATCTGGGCCCCCCGATTTACACCCATAAAGATGTTCGAGTTCGGCTTCTACCTTGTATTTGGTAATATCTACCTCCATATCCTTAGTCCCATTTGTTATGTTGATGTATATAGTAATGAGTATGCTGAAAACACAATGAATGGAAGAGAAAATCTGTATTAAGCACTACTCAAATATAGAGCCACACTACTACAATGTAGGAAGTCACCGCCTGAACTCCTCTACAGACATATACATGCTTGATGACCAGATATGGGACAAAAATAAAGGATGAATAAGGAGTCTGTGATCATGAGGAAAAGACTGAGAAATTATAATTAGACAAAATATTACAATAAAGAAGTAAGATCTCTTCCACAATTTAGACATAAAGACTCATTGAGAACTTAACACAGGCACTGACAAGTAGTAATGCGAGGTGAGAATATTCTCTGGAGAATTATTTTCCGAGCATGAGAATATTCTGAGAATATTCTCCAAAAGATTATTTCCGAAGAATTTTTGAGAATTTTCTAATTTTTCATTTCCTCTTGAAATAATATATTGTATTCAACTTTTAGAACACCCTGAATGTTAAAGAGCTTTCTTGATCATTCAAGATAGTTTGAGAACATTATAGAATGTTCCAGAATGTTATGGAGCTTTCTAGAACATTCATGAGTCAGGAATTCTGACTGCTATGGAACTTTCTGGAAGCATCACAAAAAGTATATATAGAGGCAATAACACATTTATTCTCTTTTGTGAAAGGTGCATATGTGTTTTCATCAGGATGAAAAGAAGAATTAAGCCTAAAAGTGATGTGTGGGATTATTTCCTTCATAAAACAGTTAAAGACGAAGTGTTATATGAATATAAGTATTGCAAGGCTGAATAGATCAGAAATGCAACAAGGATGAGAGAGCATATTTCCAATTGTTTGAAGACTCCTGCTTACATCAAGGAAAAGGCAACAAAATTCTCAGAGTCCAGAAGTAGATCACCTCAACCATCAATTGCATTAACATCTATAGAACACTGATAGAGTGACAGTGAATTTACATCACCACATTCCACATCTAGTTCAGCCAAGGTGTGTCAGTTTATAAGTCTCTACTTTGATTCTATGAATGAAACTGAAAACAAAGTTTTGGATGAATTTTTTGCACGAGCTATATTCTCATCAGAATTGCCTCTTTCACTGGTTGAAAATGAAGATTGGATTACTTTCATGCAAAAATTAAGACCATCTTACAAGATGCCATCCAGGTACATACTTTCTAACAAACTTTTGGAAGCTGAATATCAATGTGTTGATGCTCTTATAAAAACAAAAATTGCTGACACCTCTTCTCTTGCACTGCAGTGTGATGCTTGGAGCAACCAAAGAAATGAATCTGCTATAAATTTTATTATATCAACACCCCAACCAGTGTTTTACAAGACAATGGCAACCGATGTTGAACGCCATACTGCTGAGTATATGGCATTCCGTATGGAAGAAATAATGACAGAAATAGGCACTGAAAAATTTGGTGCCATTGTCACTGATAATGCTGCAGCAATGGTGAAATCATTATCAATGCTTAAATAAAAATACAATCACATTGCCATGTCCACTTGTGCTGCTCATACACTAAATCTGTTAATTGGTGACATCAGTAACTTAAAATCTGTTCAAGAAACTGAAGCTACTTGTAAAACTATTGTGAAGGAAATTAACAAATCACAAGTTTTACAAGCTCATTTTACTGTAGATGCTGCCATTGCTCTGGTAGAGTGGACCCATATTGTTATTGGGGGCTCACAAGTGAATATGGTATATGCAAGAGGAATGCATTCTGATATCCAGTTGGATAGTCTCTGTTTAGAGATGGGCATGTCATTAATCTCTCTGTGGAAGATTAAAAAATCCTGGAAGAATTCTGAAATGATTTTATTCTTTGCAAGTAGAAGGCCAATGCCCTACAGTTGTCCAAAGTACATAAGGTCATCTCTCTGCTTTTATTGTGAGTGTGACGGGGCAGGCGGACCACCCGCTCTACCCTGCACTGGGACGGCCACCGAGGCGGGGGGCGAAGGCCAGGAGGGGGAATTAAGCGGCTGGGGGTGCGCCGCCGAGAGCCGAAAGAAGACGCCGAGCGACACCGCAGCCAATAGCCCGCAGCCCCGTCTGGCGCCTGCTCATGACGTCAGCAGGGGCGCCGGCCAGGACGCCGAGAAGGGCGGGGGCCCGGGCGCAGGAGTGACGTCAGCCCAAGGCGCCAACCGGCGGGAAATTCAAAAGGGCCGTAGACGCGGCCAGGAGGGGGGGAGTGTTCGGCCCTGGGAGGAGCCCCAGGTCCTGACATGAAGCCCGGACCCCGAGGGGTACAGGCTGCCAGGAACCCCCCGAAGTGAGAGACAGAGGGTAAGCTTATCTCCACGCTGGGGGAGCCAGTAGAGGACCCAGGGTGGGGCCGCGAACCCCACAAGTGGAGGGTTTGGTGGAATCTTGACCCCCTCCACTGACAGGGGATGCACGTCCCCTTCTTAGGGCCCTGGGTCAGGGCTTGGAGAGAGGGAGGGCCCGAGCCCCCTTCCCGGTCCCCCAGGGATCCGCGCAGGCTCGGATCACGCCTAAGGTACGGGAGATACGCCAGGGCCAGGAGGCCGACCATAGGGCAAATCTTCCACACAAGACGATTGCCCACCCAAACTCGGGGTGGCCTTTAAGGGGACGGTTACAGTGAGGCTTGAGGAAAAAGACAGATAAGTATATGGCTTTATTACAGTTGAAAGAGGGAAGAGCTTTTGGAAGAAACTTAGGTTGTGCGCAGAAGACAACCTTATATTTGTGAAATATGGTATATGAAGGATGAGAGTTCCATGTTCCATGCTATCATGAGAGTTCCATGTTCACTCACCCTGCATTGTTGAATGATGGTTACTAGAAAGGCCACCTTCATAGATAAATGCAATAAAGAGCATGCAGCCATGAGTTCAAAGGGCTTTCCCATTAACACCCCTAGGACAAAATTTAGATCCCTAGCTGGAATGGGAGCTTTAGCTGGTGGAGTATGTATTTCCTAGTCCTTTTAGAAAATGTTTGACTGAAAGGTGTGTAATCAGAGGCTTTGTCTACACTACGCATTTTTGTGGCAGAAAATAGGCTAATGAGGGAATCATTAGCATGAGTCACGATATCATTAGCATATTTTCTACCGTTTCTTTTTGCGCAAGGGGTTTTTGCGCAAAAAGAAGCAGTGTAGCCGCTTCTGTTTTGTGCAAAAACCCCATTTTGCACAAGATTCTTATGCCTGTCCCAGAGAGGCATAAGGATCTTGCACAAAATGGGGGTTTTGTGCAAAACGGAAGCAGCTACACTGCTTCTTTTTGCGCAAAAAGAAACAACAAAAAATATGCTAATGATATCACAACTTATGCTAATGAATCCCTCATTAGCATATTTTCTGCCGCAAAAACTCGCAGTGTAAACAAAGCCAGAGAGTAACTATCTACAGGAAGATGTAATGCTGTAATCTCAAGATGTACCCTTGTGTAGCTAAGGGAGAGTCCCGTGTCCTTGAGGAGTAATATTTGGGGAAGATCAGCTGACATGGGAGAGATCTGTTGCTTGTCACACCATAGAGTGAATCAATGCTACTTATTTAAATATGTTTTCTTGCAGATGGTCTACAAGAATTGAGGAGGATTTCCTGTACCGGTGCTGAGCATGTTGTTTCAAGTGGCATTAAGCAGCAATGAGCCATATCTGGAGCTGAAGCTTCAGAACACTGGGGTAACAAAGATCTCCATCATTCTGAGTGAGGAGCCAGGAAACCAAAGGGAAGCGCCAAGGGGACACAAATGCCATCTGGAGCAGGTAAGGGCCCCTGGTCTGCCTGGGCCAATTGGGTGCTATTAGAATGACACTGGCTCTATCTAGAGGATTACCTGTTGGTGTAAAGGCAGTGACAGGAATGCATATAGTAGGGATGCATCTCATTTTATTGTGAACGTGTCCCACAGTGTAGCCAAGGCCTTCCCTGGAACAATACCTCAAGCATTTGGCATCGGAACAGTTTGCAAACAGGTCTATGGTAGGGTACCCCAATCATTTCAATACCCGTGTAAGCATGCTGGGGTTGAACTCACATTCGTGATTCAAAGTAAACAGTCTGCTAAGGTTGTCCGCCAGAATGTTGTCTTTGATGGGGAGGTAAGATGCTGTGAGACTGATGTTGCATGGGATGCACCATTCCCATAGTTGGATAGCTTCTAGACGAAGTGGTTAAGAGCAAGCTCCACTCTGGAGGTTTATGTAAAACATTATTGTCAGATTGTCCATGTAATGACTTGTTTAGAATTTAGTTTACAAAAGGGCGTGATATGTAGATTGGACTCCTCTTGAAACCACTGTTCTTAAACAACGTGGTAGCCAATATGAGTTCCCCATCCTACTAGAGAAGCATCTGTGGTGATTGTCATACATGGGGGTGTGGGATGAAAGGTACCCCTCTGCAAGAGTTGTCCTGATCCGTCCACCAAGAAAAGAATTCCTATATCTTGGGGGGAAAAGAAAGGTATTTGTTTTATATGCTAGATGTGTGGTCTGTAAATTGGGTTTAGCTATACCTGTAACAATCTCATGTGGAGACGTGCATTTGGAACTACAACCGTCACTGTGGCCATATGGCACAGGAGCTGTAGACAAAGCCTTGCTATAACCTTTGGACTGTGCTGTACCAGGGAAATCAGGTCCGTGATGACTGTGGCTCTCTGAAACAGGAATGATGTTATAGCAGTTGTACAGTCTCGGTGATGTGTGGGTTTAAATGTGCACTTCTGGAAATTCCATTGTAGGCTTAGCTTGTTGAACGTGGTTCTGGTGATGGTCACCACTTGTTCTGTGTCGAGGAAGGAGGGTCCTTTTAATAGGCAATCATCCAGATATGGGAAGATGACAATTCTAATTTTCTGGAGATATGCTGTTACCATTGCTGGGGACTTTGGAGAAGACTCTCAGAGCAGTTGAGAGTACAAAAAGAAATACTGTGTATCGGAAATGATTACAAAGTGGAGGAAACCTCTGTGTGCAGGGTGTATGGAAATATGTGAACTGTAGGTTGAGGGTAGACAGCCAGTCTCCTTTCTCCAAGGCAGGGATTATAGTGGCAAGGGACACCATCTTGAAGAGTTCTGTACAAATGAATTGGCGGAGGTTGTATAAATCAAGGACAGGCCTCCATCCTCCGGTTTTCTTTGCCATAAGAAAATAATGGGAATAAAACCCTTTCCCCATGTTGTTGAAGTACATGTTCTATTGCTGCCAGTTGCAGGAGATGGTTCAGTTCTTGCACGAGAGAGCTCTCATGAGATGGGTCCCTGAAGGACAGTGCAGGGGATGCATAGGAGGAGTAACTGAAAAGAGGATGCAGTAACCATTCTGCACTATTTCCAGCATCCACTTGTCCACAGCTCCACACTTGGTAGAAACATGCTAGTCTGTTCCCGAAAGGTGTGGGGAAACTTGGCATTAGCCTTGGAGAGTTTGGGGATGTCCTGCTGTGACAGACCGGGCTGGGTCCGGGCACAGCTGAGGGCATCCACTCAAGGTGAATTGCTCAAATTCGGGGCTCCTTACAACCCCTGACTGGAGGACCTTCCCAAAAAGGACACAAACCAGCCCCACAGAGCGCTTCTGCTGCCAGCCTGGCCAGCCAGAAGCCTCACGAGCAAACCTCTCTGACACCCCAGCTCTCTCCGTGCCCAAACAGCCCCGGGCATGCCCACAGGTGAGGGGTTCTAGAACCCAATCTCACCTACCCTGAATAGGTTCTGTCCGGTTCCAAGAAACCAGCCACAGATCCCAGGTCAATTTGCACTCTTGATCTTACACACAAATCACGCTGAGCCAATCCTTCAGTATCTAAAGATTTATTACTAAAAGAAAGAAAAGCATGAGAGTAAGGTTGTTAAAGTATCATACATTACATGCATTGAATCTACCAGTTCTTGCTGCAGGCTTGCAGCAGAGATATTATAACTGCTGGCTTAAAAGTTTTTGGTGTACATCCTATGTCAGGATGGGTCCACAGTTCTTTCTGGCTCGTGGTTCCTTTCAAGGCTGCCTCTAGGATCAAGAGCTGATTCGAAGACCAAGATGGAGTCGGCCACATGGCCTATTAACTGAGGGCTGTGTTAACAAGTTCATGGAATATCAGAATGATCTGGGCCATGCTAAGGCTGTTGCCATAGGGCTGTCTCCTACCTAATCTTTTTGAGAACTCTCTTTATCAAGGAAACTGGAAGGTATGCATACATAAGCACTGGTATCAGAAACACAGCTAACTCTGGTCAGAGTTGCCTGGCAACCAAGTGAGACCAGCTGGTCCCCATAAGTCTTCACTGTGCTCCCTGGCTGGATAGAAGAGCCAAGATAATCATTTAAGCCTTGTGGCAACAGGAAAAGTGCAGGTGCTCAGTGAATTATGCACCTGGAGCTGCTTCTTGTCCTGGTCTTGTGTCAGACCTGCTTCTTGTACTGGTCCTTGCCATAACGTATGCATGTTCCCACTCCAGACCTCGCCTCTATCTTCTTCTAAACCCACTGACTCCAACCTCTGGCTTATCTTCTATTCACAACTTCAGTTCTGTTCTATCTTCTTTTCCGACCACTAGCTTCCACACCTTATATTCTATGTGTGATACCAAATGACCATGATCTCAGAAAAGCAGCCAACAGCAAGCTAGGATTCATAGTCACTGGAGCCCAGTGTGAACTATGAACTTTCTGGATCACTCAAAGGTGGTAGGGTCTCCTCAAGAAGCCTTCTCCCCTTTGGGACTGAAAAAACCTTCATGAATCCCTGAAGGAGTAAAAGTTTTAGGAAAGCTCTCTGGACATTTGGATCCTTTTTGATAAAGAGCAGCATATTCAACTCTTGCATATTATATGTGCTTCTCCCAGACAGAAGAGACACTTAGGGTGTGTCTAGACTACAGGGTTTTGTCGACAAAAGTGGACTTTTGTCGACAAAACTATACCTGCATCTACACTACCGCTGAGTTCTGTCGACATAACGCCGACAGAACTCAGCAGTTTTGTCGACGCTGGTAAACCTCATTTTACGAGGCATAACGTCTTCTGTCAACACAGTTTCTGTCGACAGATGGTGTTATTGCATGTAAACTGTCCTTTGCGTCTACACTACCATGTCGACAAAGCAGCTTGCTTTGTCGACAGAACTGAATGTAGTGTAGACACTCTTTGTCGACAGAAGTTTTGTCGACAGTATTTGTCGACAAAACTTCTGTCGACAAAAGCCTGTAGTCTAGACGTACCCTAGGTGACTACATAGCAGTACTCAGGATGCGCTCTGGAGTCAAGGTTTATCAGTGACTGAAAGTACTGCTGAAGCCACCATAGAGAAAGTACTGCTGCAGCCACCGCTGAACTATTGCATAATGCTTCATAAATGTGGCATTGGATGACCAAGTGGCCGCTCGGCAAATGTCAGCTAACGAGAGTCCTTGTACAAAGGCCGTTGATGTGGCCATAGCTCTGGTGAAATGTGCTCTTGGTAAGTTTTGAAGGGTTTTGTTGCAAATGGAGCAACAAGTAGTGATGAATGCCACTATAAGTCTTGAAATAAGCTGGGACAACAAAGGGCTGCCCTTAGAACGGTCCGCTATGGATACTAATAAGCGATCCGTTTTATGCCAGTCTTGAGTTCTTTCAATGTAGAAAGCAATTGCTCGACGCACGTCAAGGGTTTGGAGCAGTGTCTCTCGTGCGGAAGCATGGAGTTTCGGGTAGAAAAACAATCGATTCATTGATGTGAAACTGAGAACAAACTTTAGGGATGAAGGTAGGTTGGGCATGTAATGTAACTGAGTCCCTGTTGAAGACTGTGAAAGGTGGCTAACCCTGCACGCCGATGTAATTGTCAACAGAAAGACAACTTTAATGATGATCATATGGATAGACGTCATGGCCACTGGCTCAAACGGTGGGTATATCAGTGTATCCAACACAAGATTCAAGATCCAGTAAGGAGGTGGTGGTCTACGCAGAGGTTTAAGGTTTGTCAAGCCTTTTAATAGCCTCTTAGTAAGCGAGTAGGCGAATACCGACATCCCTTCTATGGCATCGTAGAAGGCACTAATTGCTGATAAGTGGACTCTCAGAGAGGCCACTAAAAGACCTGTTTGTTCAAGAAAAAGAACATAATTGAGGATACGGTGCATAGGTGATGTATACGGGTCGATCTGGTTGTCAGAACACCAAGCAGCAAATCTCCATCTAGCAAGGTAAGCCTTGCTTGTGGATTCTCTTCTGCTATGCAATAAGACTGTCTTTACTTGCTCCGAACAGAGATGTTCCGATGCCCTGAACCAGCTAGGAGCCATGCTGTTAGATGCAGGGTTTCCAGTCTCAGGTGCAAAAGAGAACCATGGTTCTGAGAAAGCAGGTCTAGTAGAGGGGGAAGAGGACGCAGTGGTTGTACAGACATTAAACTGTGAAATGGGTACTACGGTTGCCTTGCCGATGCTGGGGCTATAAGAATCAGTTGGGGCTGTGTCTGCATTGACTTTCTCTAATACCCTGGATATGAGCACCGTAGGAGGGAACGCATAAAGCAGTGACCTGTCCCAGCGGATCAGTAATGCGTCCCCAAAAGACCCCTTGCCTATGCCAGCTCTCGAATAATAGTGGTAGCATTTCTTGTTTTTGTAGGTGATGAACAGGTCCATCTGTGGAGCCCCCAGAGATGGAAGATGCCCTGAAGAACATCTGACTGAATCTACCACTCGTGATCGTGTGGGAAATGTCTTCTGACCACATCTGCCATTACATTGCTCATGCCAGGTAAGTATGATGCTATTAAGGTGATGTCATTTTGGACACAACAGTTCCATAACTGGACTGCTTGTGGGCAGAGCCATTGGGAATGTGCTCACCCCTGCTGATTTATATAAAACATTGTTATGATGTTGTCTGTCAGCACCCTGACGGTTATGCTGGTAATTTGAACCCAGAAGTGTTTGCGTGCAAGGAAAACTGCCCTGAATTCTAGAGGATTTATGTTCAGAGTGGATTCTGTTGTTGACCACTAGCCCTATACCAACATGCCATCCATATGTGCGCCCCAGCCAATGAGGGAGGCATCTGTGATTAACTGACTCAGGGTATGTCTACACTACCACCCTAGTTCGAACTAGGGTGGTTAATGTAGGCAACCGAAGTTGCAAATGAAGCCCGGGATTTGAATTTCCCGGGCTTCATTTGCATCTTGCCGGGCGCCGCCATTTTTTAATGTCCGCTAGTTCAGACTCTGTGCCCGCGGCTACACGCGGCACAGACTAGGTAGTTCGGATTAGGCTTCCTATTCCGAACTACCGTTACTCCTCGTGGAACCCTGAAGACATGAAGCGATGGTGAAAGAGGGAGGTGACGTGATGTTCCACATCTGTAGGAAAGACTAGTTACATACCCTTGACCACGAAGTCAAATTTCCTGCTTATTATTCGCCTGGTTGGTCAGACGGGGTGATTGGGGGCGCCTGTGTTGTGGGCTCTGTCTTGCACGGGGTTGATCTGAGATGTGATATTGCTGCTTCTGGAATGGGTAATCGTACCTTCTCTGATATGGGTAGTATCTCCTACGCCTGAAGGGCGGTGTGTACATCCCAAGGGTATGAAGTGTCGTCTGGGAATTTTTCCCCAAATGGAGGACCTCATTTGTTTTGACCGCCAACAGCTTTTTTTTTATCAAATGGGAGGTCCTCCACCTTGCTTTGGAGCTCCTTGGGGACTGCAGCTGAAGCAAGCAAGGACGACCGTCTCATGGCTACTGCCATCGTGGTGATATGTGCGGCTGTGTCTGCCATATCTAGGGCAATCTGCAATCCTGCTCGCACTGCTGAAAAACCTTCTTGCATCCCAGATTTTAAAAGTTGTTTCTTTGAATCCGGGAGATATTACAGAAGATCCGCCATTTTAGAATAGTTAACAAAATTATGATTGATAATAGGGCGTCATAATTTGCCATGCGCAGGAGCAGCATAGCTGACAAGTAAACCTTCCTGTCAAAAATGTCCAATTTTTTAAAATCAGGTGCGATGCTCATGTACTGTGGTGCCTTGGCCCGTTGTTGCGCCACATCAACCACTAATTAATTTGGTTGTGGGTGATTGAAAAGGAACTTGAGGCCCTTGGAAGGCACAAAATATTTCTTGTCCGCTCATTTGCTAGTCGGTAGTATGGAAGCTGGGGTCTGCCAGACCTCAGCAGCCTCCATGATGGCGTGATCAATCGGGAGGGCAATCTTTGAGCTCTGTTGGGGATGTAGGTTCTTCAGAACCGATACTGTTTGGTCTGCACCTCAGCCAACTGGACCTCCTGTGACTGTGCCACCCACTTAAAAAGCTCTTGAAAATTGCTTCAAGTCATCCGGCGGGGACATATCTGCCGGGAAAACTGCCTCATGAGGGGAAGATGACAAGCAGTCCACCACTGGTGGCTCCAGTTGTTGATCATCTGCCTGTGATAACTGACCTTCTTTGGGCTCTGAATGCTAGGTCACCATCACCGGCCTGTGGGAGGGAGAGGTTTGTTGGTGTCTCTCCTGTTGCTGCGGTTCCACTGGAGCAACCTGATGGGTTGGGGAACGACAAGAGCATGGAGATCGCTGATGTGAATGTGAACGATAGTAACACATTTTTTAAATCCTGGTGATCCAGGCATTGCATTTACTCGGTTGTTGTTCTTTCTTTTTCTTATTTTTGTCTTCTCTTTTTTTTTTTTTGAGGCGGCAAGACGCCGCTACTTCAGCAAGAAAGAAGGGGGGGGCAGGGGACGTGGCAAAGCCGCAAACTCTAACATAACAGGTTTTGGGGGGGGGGAGTTGGAATCAGAACTATGAAAACAAACTATGTTGAAACCTAACTAACTTATGTACATTTGTCTATTTACAGGGAAGATTAAGTAGGTTCTGAGAAGAGGAGAGCTCTGTCTGAGGCTGAGGACAGTTGAGAGGAACTGGCGGGAGCCGGGCCACATGCGACGATCAAAGGGCGTGACCAGTGAGAGGTGCTAATCGCGCATGCACAGCCCGGCTGATTACAGCTATTGAAAGTCTCCAATCTGCGGCGCCAGAATGAGGCCAACACCTACAGTGAAGCACCCAGGGGGAGCACTCGAAGAAGAATAATGCTTCTTTCAAAACTGTTATTTTGAAATAGTGTTAGTGTGCTCAGCTACTGCTATTTTGAAGGAATGCCAACATGTACAGTGAAATGGCCACCAGCCTGGTGGAAAAAGGACACATACGGACCCTTAACCAGGTCTGCATGAAAATAAAAGAACTCCGGCAGACCTACACTAAGGCCAGAGAGAAAAATTCTTGCTCAGTCTGGGGAGTCATCGCAGTGCCAGATCTGGTGTGTGTGAGACACGGAAGAAAGGTGAGAAGTCCCATCCTCCCCTCCCATCCACAGGCTCCTGGTCTGGCCATCATATTCCCATGACTGTTTGTCCGCTGGCTGTGGAGGTAGTGATGCTCTCCTGGAATGTCGGTGCCCCTTCAGGAAAGTTCCCACTGTGTAAACAACAGATTGCCTTGCTTGAAGCACATCGCCATTGTGTGAACTGAGACCTTTGGTATCGGTTCAGAGATTAGGGCTAGGCTTCATGCACAGTGTCTCCTGGGATGACTGCCCTTGTTACTTTTCTTCACAGCTGAACCAGCAGCGAACGTGGCCTTTCCACCATAACTGGGAGCAGTGGAAGGTCATGTGGGAGCAGCTTTCATGCTAGCATGAAGCCATGTGCTCCTCCATAACATCTGTCCTGGAATGCATGGCTACATGCATGGAGCAGGGCACCAGCCACCTCCCCACACCTGCCCCTCAATTCCCTGCCCAACTGCTCACCCCACCCCTCCAGCTCCCTGCTCCCACCCCGGCTCCTCCTCATGGCCCTCACAGGGGCTGCCAGGGCCCCCGAACATGTGGCAGTGGGACTTCACAGGCAACTAAAGCCTCCCAAGGTATCCAAGGCAGGCACCACTCATAGCCCCATCCCTGAGACCTGCTCCTCCCCCTTACTTCCCCTCCCCAATTCCAGGTTCTTTCCTCAGTCGCTCCCCTGTTGTATATTCCCCAAATAAAAAAATCAGAGTTGTCTGTTCAAACAAACAGTCTTTATTGTTTGCTCTGCAGGGGAGGGGAGAAGTTAAGAAGGGAAGGCAGGGGAAAGGAGAAGTAGGGGAGGAAATGCACACAAGGGCAATGCAGGGTCTCCTTGTGGAGAGGCCCAGGGAAGAGTCTCACAAGTGGCCTTGGCTGAAACTCTACCTCAAATCCTCCTGGATGAGCACAGCCCCGACGTGCTCTCCAGATGGCACTGGTGTTCAGCTGCTCGTATGCCATGACCAGCCGCTCAGCCTTTGCCCCAACCCTGGCAGGAAAGTTTGCCCCTTGCTTTCACATATGCTGTGGAGCACACAGCAGTCTGCCACCAAGGCCGCATTTGTTAGAATCAAATCCATTGGTTCTAACTAACATTACTCCTCATTTTAGTAACATTAGTTCGAACCAAGGGGTTTGATTTGAATTAACATGACCTGGAACGCACTTTCAAATCAGCTGGGTTCCGAAACAGCGTGCGGCCGAGATTATGCTAATGAAGCGCAGGATATTTAAATCCCGGCTTCATTTACTATTTCGAATGCCTACATTTGCATCCCTAGTTCGAACTAGGGTGCAAGTGTAGACATACCCTAGGTTGGGGCTTAGAACTACATTTGGATAACCTCAAAATATGCTGTCAATTTGTAAAAACAACAAATGTTTCCATCATAACTTTCAAGTCTGATCAGCTCCTAGGCGATTAAATAATGCAGGATGCACAATATGCAAATGTATCTACAATCCATGAGACTCCTATTTTTTAATATGTTTCTCTACTCTTTAGTTATCAGCTACATGCACCCTTAGCACTTTTCCTTTTTATTAATAATAGGCTACGTCTACATTGCACATTCTTGCACAAGAATATATGCAAATGAGGCATGGCGATGAATATTGCCGCACCTCATTTGCATACTTAATGAGCCACCATTTTGCACAAGATAGACTGCTCCTTCTTGCGCAAAAGCCCCCTCTTGCGCAAATAAGCCTGAAATAAACGGCAGAATGGCTCTTGCGCAAAAGGGGTTTTTGCGCAAGAAGGAGCAGTCTACACTGCTTGAGCAAAAGCCTCTTGGCATTGGCATTGGCTACTGCTGTGTCGGAGACGATGACTCTGGAAAGAGCATAATGGTTTGCGAATGTAAGTTCAGAAGACCACGTTGACACTCAGCAGATGTCCTTGATAGGGACCCCTTTAAGGAAGGCTGTTGAGGATGCTACTGCCCTGGTGGAATGGGCCCTGATCAGATGAGGTAGTGTGATATTTCTCATTTCGTAGCAATTGATGATTCATGACACAATTATCTTAGATATTCACTAAGATGATAATGGATGGCCTTTAGCGCGGTCATTTAGCGAGATGAACAGATGGTTTGTTTTCCGTATATTACGAGTTCTTTCAATATAGAATGCCAGTGCTCTACAGATGTCTAGTGAATGAAACCTTGCATGATGTTTAGATGTATGCGGTCTTGGATAGAACACAGGTAAGACAATAGGTTCATTTATATGGAAGCTGGAGTTGACTTTGGGTAAAAATAATGGTTGTGGTCGTAGGATGACTGCCTGTGGCGTGAAAATGGTATAAGGAAGTGATGCCAACAAGGCTGCCAGTTCCCCTTCCCTGCATGCAAATGTGATTGCCAGTAGGAACACAACCTTCATGGTAAGAAAGTTAAAACTGGATGTGGACAAAGGTTTGAAAGGTGGCCGCATGAGTGTATCAAGAACCAATTGAAGGTTCCAAGGATCTGGGGGGTTGTTTGTGCTCAGGGAACAGGTTGTTCAGGCCTTTGAGGAATCTTCTCATAACAATGTGAGAAGATGGTGTAGCCCTCGACTGGCTGTCTAAAGGCTGTGATAGCCACTAGGTTGACCTTCAGGGATGATAGGGAAAGTGCACTATGTTTGAGGTGTAAAACGTATTCTAGAATGGAGTATAACAGCACCATCCGGTGAACCTTTTCAACTTATGCAGGTAGGTAGTTGGGGTCGAGGTTTTTCTGCTATGTAAGAGCACGTGGTCGACCGCTGTTGAACCATCTAATCTTTCTTGCTGGGAGGTGTCAGGAACCAAGCGGACAGGGTGAGGTGATCCAGTTGTGGATGAAGTAGTTTCCCCTGTTCCTGCATCAGAAGATTGGGCCGACTGGGAAGATGATATGGGGGATGAGACGACATGTGGAGCAGGTAAGGGAACCAAGTCTAGCATGGCCAGAATGGTGCTACTAGGATCAGTGTTGCTCTGTCCGCTATTGCTTTCTCTAGGACCTTGTGTATTAGGGGAATAGGTGGAAATGCATATAGCAGTTGTCGACCCCAGTTGAGCAGGAAGGCATCGCCCTTCAACACTTGGCCTATGCTCACTCTGGAGCAGTAGTGATCGCACTTCGCGTTGTACTATCTTGTGAAGAGGTCCATAGTTGGGTGGCCCCAGCATTGGGACATGCTCTCTAAGACTTCAGGGTGTAGCTCCCATTCGTGCTGTTGTGTAAAATGTTGGCTGAGAGTGTTCACTGTCGTGTTGCTGTCTCCCGGGAGATATGCTGCCGTAATTATGATGTTGTGTCGAATACACCAGTTCCACAGATGCACGGCTTCCCTGCACAGAGTGCGGGAGCAGGCTCCGCCTTGTTTGTTTATATAATAGACTGTTGTCATATTGTCTGTAAGAATTTGTACCCTCTGGTTGCGTATCCAGGGGAAGAAGTGGTTGCAAGCATTGTACACTGCTCATAACTCGAGCAGTTTTATATGGCAGAGCAATTCTTGTGGCGACCAACGGCCTTGCGCTTGTTTGTCCTACATATGGGCCCCCCAGCCAAGAGGGGGGGGCCGGAAGTCACCTGGATGGTAGGCTGGGGTGTGTGGAATGGGATACCAGCTAACATGTGGTGGGGGATTGTCCACCGCTTCAGAGATCACCTGACTGCATTTGGTACGGTGACCACTCTATGCACATCGCATTTGTGAGGTGTGTATACAGTCAATATCCATTGTTGCAGGCATCTGAAATGCAGCCGTGCCTGGGCGACAACATAAATTGCGGCTGCCATATGCCCCATCAGTTGCAAGCAGGTGAGCACCGGAACTGTGGGGCTGGTAGTAAGGACCTGAACAAGATCTTGGATCTTGCTGAGTCTGGCGTTGGGAAGGTAGGCACCATAACAGAGTCGAGACGAGCGCCTATAAAGTCTATAGTCTGTTGAGGGATGAGGAACAATTTCTGGACATTGATTATCAGGCCTAGGTTGTCGAAAAGTAGTCTTGTCGTGGAGATCGTGATTGAAGGATTGGGCCTTGTCAAAGGATCAGGCCCTGAGGAGGCAGTCATCTAGGTGAGGGAAGATTATGATTCCTAGGTGACTCAGGAAAGCCGCTACTACAGCAAGTGTCTTGGAAAACACCCTTGGGGCTGACGAAAGGCTGAATGGCAGTACTTTGTATTGGTAGTGTTCGGAGCCTACGAGGAAGCAGAGAAAGCGCCTGTGGGCTGGGTGCACTGTGATGTGAAAGTAAGAATCTTGTAAATCGAGGGATGCAAACCAGTCTTCTTGCTGCAACGCTGGTATGATGGTGGTGAGAGTAACCATCCTAAATTGTTGCCTCCACACGTATTGGTTGAGACCACGGAGGTCCAGTATGGAACTCCAACCGCCGAACTTTTTTTGTGTCAGAAAATTGCAGGAGTAATACCTTCTCCCCTGAAACGGTTGCAGCACTCTCTCTATGGCTCCTGTACAGAGGAGGTGATCTACCTCTTGCTTGAGGAGCAGCTCGTGAGATGGGTCCCTGAAAAGGGATGGGAAGGAAGGAGTACTTGGGGGACAGGATGTGAAGGAGATAACATAGCCCGTTGTTATGAGCTGCATGACCCATTTATCCGTTGTTATTGAAGCCTAAGAGTTGGAATGGTTTGCAATCTCTCAAGAAACACATCAAACTTGCTGTTTCAATTGTGGCTGAGTTATAGGTCTGCAGGCCTGTGGGCATCATCTTTGAGGACGTTGTTTAGGGCGTTGTTGTTCGTACTGTCGTAGCTGTACATAAGGGGATGGTCTCTGTCTCTGAAAGGGTGTATACTTTTTGCGTCAATATGGCAGCATAAACATGCCTAAGGTTCTTAAGGTGGTACGTGAGTCCTTGCCAGAATGAAGTAGCTGGTCTGTTTTCTCCACAAACAGACCTTGTGTGTCAAAGGGCAAGTCCTCTACCTAGACTGATTTTCCCTGGGGACAGCCAACATATGGAGCCACGAGGCCCTGCGCATAATGACAGATGTTGCTGTCGTTCTAGCCGCAGTGTCGGCTGTGTCAAGGGCTATGTTCAATGCTGAACGGGAAGTGCTATAGCCCTCATGAATAATGGCCTTGAGCAGCTGGCGTTTTGTGTTCGAGTAGCTGGACTAACTTCATGTAATTGTCGAAGTTATGGTTGGCTAGCAACGCAGAGTAGTTGGGCATTCAAAGTATGGACATGGCCGAGGAGTAAACTTTTCGTCCGGGAATGTCAAGGCATTTGTTATCCTTGTCCCCACCAGCTGTTTTGTATTGGGGGGCTTTTGCACGTTGCTGCGCTGCGTCAACGACCAGCGAATTCAGTTGGGGATGGGTGAACAGGAACTCCATCCCCATGGCCGGGACGTAATATTTCTTATCAGCCTTTTTATTCATTGATAGACTCCTTCCAGATGGTGCTGGCAATCTCAAATATAACCTCATCCAGAGGCAGCGCGACTTTGGAAGCATGGGAGGAAGGATGTAGATTTCACAACAGATGGTGCTGTTTCTGTTGGACTTCTGTGAGCTTCATGTTCTGCGTATCAGCTACCCAGCGAAACAGGTCTTGGAATTCCTTTAGGTCATCGGAAGGTGACATATCTCCGGTGAGGATGGCATCATCCGGAGAAGAGGAAGCCACATCTGTGGAAGAGGCTTGCTGTGGCGCCTCTACCTCTACGTCTTGTGGTAGTTCTATGATAGATTGTTCCACAGAAGGTAGGTCACAAGACGGAGTCGGTGGTCTGGCTGCTGCCGGAGTGGAGGATCTACTCCTGCCGCAAGTGAACCATGATGGAGCTGGTGATGGTGAAGAGTGGATCGATCAGGAATAATGGTCTCAATGGTCATGATGAGCATACCAGCGGTCATCATAACGAGAGTGGTATGAGTGTCTGTAGTTGTCTTTGTACCTGGAACCTCGAGAATAGGAGGGACATGTTGGTGACCTGGATCTATGGTGAGAGCAGCAGGGAGATGGCGATCGGTAATATCTGTGGTAATTGTGTCTTGGTGGAGGGGAGACACTGTGTCTCAGCCGTCTATGATGCCGGGGTGGGGACAGTGGCTCAGGGGAGAAAGCCGTTGGTCCTGGGCTTATTGGCGGCCATCTGCTCGTGGAGGAGAGGGATGCCTGCATGAGGGGTGTGGGCGGAGTTTCGCTAGGTGTAGAGATCCTCTGGGAATATGATTGGGTTGGAGAGCGTCCCAGCGGTGCCTGTGGTTCCGGTGCCACGTGTGATGGGGCCGACTGGGGCTGTGGTCGGGATGTCGGTGCCGACGGCGCTGTTTGTGCCGATGTCAGTGCCCATTCCAGTGCCGAGGTCGTCGGTGCCTGAAGGAAGGGGCCCTGTTGCACCGCTGGCTCGCCCGGTGCCGGCATCAGGGGCGGGGGGCTGGGCCCTTGCCGGGAGATCAGGTGCCAGAGGTGCCGGGGCTGGCTGTGCAGGCATCGTTGCTGGGGTCGGCTTCAATGCGGGCTTTGGTCTAGGTGCCGTATGCACCATTGAGCTTGGTGTTGATATGCTTCACACCGGCTTCTCTTTGTGTGGCTTTTGAACTGCCGCTTTCTGAGAGGTGCCCAGCTTGTCCCCGGAGCTCACCCTCATTGCTGGCAGGGAGCGAGATGGGGAGTGACTCCTTCAGGAGCTCGTCGCCACAGGGGAGGGCCGATGAGATGTGGCCGACAGGGATGGCGGTTGTTCTGCAGTTTCCGTCTGCGGCCAGAGCGCCTTGTCGAATAAGAGCATTTTAAGGCGCATCTCCCGGTCACGGCGAGCTCTTGTTGTCAGCCTCAAACGGTGCTGACATTTTTGGGGGATGTGGCCTTCCCCCAGGCACTGTATACATGAAGAGTGCCCGTCTGACACGGGCATTGAGTCCCGGCACGTCAGACACATTTTGAAGCCTGGTGACCCGGGCATGATTGAAGAAATGAGGGTAAACATTTTTTTTTTAAACTCACTAACTAACTAACAACTAGAGAACTGTAAGAAACTAAGTACTGAACTATCTACAAAACTCTCCTCTCTCTTAGTTCTGGCAGGATCGACATGAGAGGGAGCTGTTTCTCCATCTGCGCCCGAAGATGGTCAGGAAGAACTGGCAGGAACTGGACCGCACAACCAGAAATGGCGCGAAAAGCCGCAAGATGGCCGCCGCCCATGTGCGGTCCAGCGAACAACAGCTGAAACATCTCCGAACTGTGATGCCACACCCTGGCACCCATGGGGACACTACTCAAAGAAGAACTTTACTGCTTAGAGAACAATACAAAATTAAGGCTAACTTAAAGGTTAACTGTGAAAATAATAGTCTGCAATATTACACACACACAAAAAAGAACATATGTTTTTTCCAGGTAATTTAACGCTATACTTTAAAAAAAATTGATCAATTATCTAAGACAAAAACACCTAAAATATATATTTTAAATATCTTTTCTCTAAAGGGTTCTAAAATTATTTCCAGTTTCTCTAGCCAGACTAGCACTAACTGTGCTATAAATCTCTTCACAAACAGAAGTAGTGGGTTAAGCCCATGAAAGCTCATGATACTGTCTACTTGTATTGTTAGTCTTTAAGGTGCTACTAGACTATTGGTTGTTTTTTTAAGTTTTTCTAGTTACAGACCAACTCAGCTATCCCTCTGAAGTTCACAAAGTATATTACAGAGTCCAGAGTCACTCTGGAAAAAATATCAAGAGCATACTTCCTTGATGAGAGTGAGAGGCATCAGAATCACAAACATGGATAGGAAGATTGTCCCATTCTAAATTAATATTTTTCACTCTTCAAAACATTTCCCAAAGATTGAAATTTCTTATGCTTAGTCTTAATCTAAAGATAAATGTATCTGACAGTAAAGCAAAAATTAACAGCGGCAGGAAGAATATTTCCCTTTACAAGACATTGCATGCTTAGATAAACTTGTCTAGATAAACTTGTCATAAACTTATCCTTATGAATTGAAAAGTGCTTTTAAAACAATCAATCTTAAAAAAATCTTAAAGTAAAAAATAATTGCACGTCACTTCCTCATGAGCCATGAGAGGTAATTTATTTTAATAAATACTCAATTATAAATTCCTTTTGAACAAACTTTCCTTTCAATAGAAATGCATCTGTGAAAGTCCACTGATAGTGAGACACATACTCTAACACACCATTTTTCCTATTATAATATTAGCACGTTCTTAAAAAGAAAAACTTCCATGATTGAAAAAAACCTCTGCATATGACCATAACTGTATTTACAAGCAGTTCTGAAAAAATATGGATTATACCATTTTCTGACAGATGGCACATTTCAAGTCTTTGCTGAGCAGAGAAGGTAAGTAATTTGTTTGCTTCTTCCAATGCACTTTTATACCATTCCTTTTTTCTCTTGCATTGTTCTGGCTATGGAAATAAAGAGAAACTTTTACTAAATTCCTCATCATTACTTCATTTTTCTACACTTTTCATGCATCAGAAACAAAATAGCACTTCAAAAATATTTTAAAATCACTAGAAAAGAATTCTAGACAGCAAAGTATTTAGATTAACTCAGAGCTTCCATTCAAGATAAATGCACCTGTATCTATTTCTGCTAAATTACTAAGGGTACATCTAGACAGCACCCTTCTATCGGAATAAGCTACGCAAATTGCTACGCATAGCTCAAATTGTGTAGTTTATTCCGAGTCTCACTCAAAAGAGATTATTTTGAAATTTGACTCTGTCTACACAGCACCAAATTTCAAAATAAGGCACTATTCTGACAAATCCCTTAACCATTATGGAATGAGGATTACAGGGATGCCAGAATAGTGTGTCTGCTATTTCGGGAAATAGTGGGTGCTTTTAAAGACGAAGCATTGCTATTTCAGAATACTTCTGCAATCTAGACATACCCAAAGGATACATCTAGACTACATGCCTCTGCCGAAAGAGGCATGTAAAATAGGACACCCTACATAGTCAATGAAGCGGGGATTTAAATATCCCTGGCTTCATTAACATAAAAATGGCCACCGCGCTGTGCCGACTCAGCTGATCGTTGGCACAGCGCCCGAGTCAAGACGCGGATAGGTTGACAAGGGAAACCTTTGTCAACCGCTCCCTTATGCCTCGTGAAACGAGGTTTACAGGAGCGGTTGACAAAGGTTTCCTTTGTTGACCGATCCGCGTCTTGACTCGTGCGCTGTGCCAACGTTCAGCTGAGCTGGCACAGCGCAACGGCCATTTTTATTTTAATGAAGCCGGGGATATTTAAATCCCCGTTTCATTGACTATGTCAGGTAGCCTATTTTACATGTCTCTGTCAGCACAGGTATGTAGTCTAGACATACCCTAAGTGTACAAAGGATAGAAATTGTCTAGGGTTATTTGTTTGTTTTGTAATTAGACCCCTTTCAACATAGAACATGAATTCCTACATAATGTAAAGACTCCTATTCTAAGGCTCTTTATTGTGTTTACCTTTCTGTTTAATGAAATCAACATTTTGAGTCTATAAGGACTGCAGAGTGAAACCCCAAAATGATCTTCATTCACCAGAATACTTTAAGTATCACTCATAAGCCCTTTATGATACACTCCCATAGAAATTTTATCCTCACCTATAACAAGATGTGACTACATAATATTTAATTTTTATCTCAATGAACTACCTGACTATGGTACTACTGCAGTTCTTGTAAACATGTGTTATATCGGGAAATATCTATTACTCCAGTCCCTGTTCATAAGATTTGTGTATATTTGCAAATGCAGTCCATTTTGTAGTGGGAGAGGAAAGTTCTAGAATTTGTGCCAGTTATTTGGAGAGGAGAAAGGGAGATGATATAGTGATTGTGAGGGTAAGCAGAAGGAAGAAGAAAGAGGCATATGCTTTTGTGAAGGCAGAATGTAATGATGGTGGCAAGAGTGCTGCCATGGGGCGAAGATGAAGTGGTAGAGGCATCAAAAGAATGCCCACCATATGATTAAGATAGGTCTATTGAACACTGTCTTGGGGCTTCTTGGTTATCCTCCTCCAGCTTTTTGCAGCCTTGATCTAGCTTTACCTATATTCTGGATGCAGAGCTCTAGGAACAGAATGAAACACTAAAAAGAGTACAGTTGAGTGCATTGTGAGAAAGATGCTTACTAAAGACAGCTCCTAGAGGAGTTGCAGCACAGTAAGATTAAGTGCCAGATTCCACTCAAATGCTCAAGCAAGTTACTTGCTATGATAAGTAGAAGCTGCAATAATTCATTTATGGAAAGATTTTAAAATGGCATTTTAGCCCTTCTGTAATATACAATGAGAAATTCCAAATGAAATTTTATTATTATAATGGAAACTGATATTTTAAAAGAAAGGACAATCATAAATGTTTGATGTAGAGTGGAATATTCTTGGCATACTAACCTCAGTTCTATAAAGCATCTAAACATACATGGCTGAAACACATTTACCAGGAGCATTTGTTTTAAGTGGCAAGACAAATCCATCTTGAAGAAAATGGTTTTATCTTGTTGGTAGGCCCTAGTATTTAAACCTGAATCTCATCCATACATATTCAGAAGTTGTAGGTTTCTCTCGTTCTGTGATAGAGTACTCAATACTTCTGATGACCATCTTCCACTAACATCCAAGCTGTTTATTGCAGCTTCCCGAAGTATATTTGGGCTCTTTATGTCAACAGATTTTTCTTTATGAGAATATGCAGAAGTGATTGAAAAGACACTACGATGAACTTTCTCTAACAGTTTTTCTTTGAGATACATTGTACATGTCTATTCCAACTAGGCACGTGCTCACCCAAGCTACCAGGAAGTTTCCCCGCAGTAGAATCCATTGGGCCATTTCTGATACCCTCTGAGGTTGCAGTTATAGCAACAGTATAAAGGGCCCTACCAACCTACAGTTCCGGCAGTTCCTTCCTGCTGGCTAATTCTGACAGAGGTATGGGAGGAGAGATCAATGCCTTTTAGATGGTTCTCCAGAAATGAATATTGAAAAGTGGCAGTTTTAATCAGTGTGGGGCATCAGACACTTATACTAAAGCATTTCATTTGCAATTTTAGAAGCAGAAAATTAAACATGCATAAAGTATCACTGCTGTCCATAAATATACAAATATAACAGGCATCTTTCATTCCTAGGTTTGCCACTGATCCACACCTCAGGTCTCTGAACATGTATACATGACAAATTAAACTGCTCCATCACAAAGTTTTAAAAAGTGAGTAGCCATTAACTACTAAAGTGGTAAGCTTTCTCACCATCAAGGGCAAGCATGTACTCAATGGTAAGGTACACTGGTTAATGTCATCAGTTGTCTTCTTTCTCACCGACTTGTGAAGAATTTCATTTTAGAACTCAAGTACTGTCATCAGGAAAATGTTCTCAACTTTTAAATAGTTTTCCGGATTTTACAGTACTTTTATCATTAGTTCCTTATCGGTAAACTATATGCTTAATTCAAAAGTATTTTATTCTGTTAGACAACTTCATTTGAGTACTCTCAAAGACTTTGTTACTATTTTTGTTTGTAGGTTTTTTTTCTTTTGGGTAGTTGTTTTTCCCTCTCCTTGATATAAGCAATTTTTTCTCTTTTTGAGGGAGACAGTATAGTACAAAAGGAAAGCAGATGAACAAATTGGAATGCTGCATTGGATGCACATAAAATACGTTATTTCTTTTGTTTTGTGATAGGCCATAGTAATACTAGATCTGCTCAAGACATCATTTTTTAAATCTCTCTCAAAACTTCTAGACAACAAGGCACAATTTATGCAGAAAACCTTGAGCAAACTTAGGGAAATGTTCATGTCTTCCCAGGAGGTGAGATTTTGTGTCACAAGCCCAACATTAACTGGGCAGGAATGGTCCTTTACCACAGTTCTGATGTCAAGGAGATCCAAAACACTTCAGCTGAAAGGAGACCACTGGAGAGCTTTTCAGAAAATCAGTGTACTTTTCATTATGATGGAAAATGTTAACTCTACATTCAGAAATTTCTTGCTGAGAAAGTTTCCCAGAGCCAATAATAGTGACAGTGTTTCTGATTAATCTGCAAACTGCAGCACTAACTATATCCTATGTCAAAGCACATCTAATATTCAGTTGACAGACATTACTTGAAAGTACATGGAATCTTCCTCAACAAAACATTTAAAGATATTTGATTCTCCAGTTGCATTTCACCATAAAAAGGGTTGCATTGGTGCGATGTTTTCTTGGTGTTCAGTAGACATATAAATACTAGAAAAATACTTGAGTCAAAATATGTTTTCTGCACATAAAAGAATATGGGAACAGTCTCCCATTCATAAAAGCAGAGGTACTTTATGCCTTCCCATCATTTTCTTTGCTGACCAGAACACTGAGAAATATGATACAGGAGACGGCCCTTTACATTAGTGGCCCTTTGATGGACTTGAAGGCCTGAGTTCTTCCTCAAGTGCTTGCTTATGTCCATCCCAAAGTAGATGTGTGCTAATCCAGAGCACAGTTGCCAGAAAAATTTTTCTCAATGGTATCCATCAGGTTGGCTCTGTTGCCCACTGGAGCTGTATGATCATAGTGCTGGTATAAATAGTCCTGCCAGCCTGCAGCCTCCTCACTTCCTTCTTACCACCCATGATGGTCACTGGAATGTTCTTATCCTTGTGTTTCTACAACTACCGTCTCAGTGGACTTTTCCAACCTTTAATGTATATCATTATTTCTTTTTCTTAATAGTTATCTTAGTGGAATCTGCTAACCAGAGTTAATTTCTGCTCAGTACTGTGGCATGTGTTGGTCTACAGATTTTAAGCCTGGTGCCTCATGTCACAAGCCTACACCTGTGAGTGACCTCCATTCAAGCTGCCCTAAGTGCCTGGGGGAATCTCATTGGGATCAGTGACTATGGGGGGAACCTCAGGAACCTTTCGTAAGGTGTCAGGAGTCTTTAGATGGTACAGATGCATGCATAGATGGTGCTGGGGCATTGTGCACAGAGGAGGCAGTGCTTAGTGCAAGATCTGTCAGTGTAGGTGGTTTGGAGCCGGAGTGCTGCCTCTCTTAGCAAGACCTTGAGGAACTGATCTCTATCTTTCAGTATGTGAGGTCGGAAAGTCTTTCAAATCACAAAGCAATCTTTCTGATGGCCCTCTCCTAAATACTTCAGGCACGAAGTGTGAAGACTGCTTCTGAACACACACATTTGCCACAGGTTCCACGGACTTTGAAGCCAGGAGACTCGGGCATGCCCTGGTGCCAAGGATACATGGAAGGAAGAAGATTAAGTTTCCATTGGTATGTCTATCGAATCAACTAAGAACTTTATCTACTAACTATCGACTATCACTAACAACTGAAACTGTGAAATCTTCTGGCTACCAGCCATGTACACGCACACACACCTGATTGGAATCCACTTGAAGAAGAATTTACCTTTCTAAAGGCTAATTCCAGTTTGTTGTAAGGTAATTTCTTAATTTCTTTCACACTTTGATTGAATAATTATGTATGTGTATTGTATTATAAATATACACATGCATGTATTACAATGCTATATTGACTCTTCTAGTTACAGCTAATTAAACATGACTTCTCTCAAAGACTTGGAGAAAATGAATCAACACCAGTTAGATATGCTTAATTAGTAAAACAAAAGTAGGATGGTAATTCAGAGCCCATCACGTGTTATCCAATTCTATAAAGGAGATACATATAGTTTTATTGTAAGTCTTCCAGAAAAAAATGTCTCAATGAGGATTACATGTTGAAGAGACAGTGAACAATGGGAAAATGTTTCAATCTTAAGGATAATATATAAAACACACTTCTTTAATTAAGATCAAAATATTCATGGCCACTGTACATTCAGAACTCTGAATTAAGGCAATCAGCCAAGTTCACTTCTGATTTACCTAGACTTTTGCTAGCAAAAACAAGTCTGTAGGGCCACCACATATGAAGTACCAAGACGAAGTTGCAGCTGCAATCTCACCTCTACCAGGTGACCAGGCAGTCAATACAAGCCCCAAAATGGTACCTTTGCCTAAAGGGAAGCATGGCCAGAGCAGATAAGAAACATATTGACAAGGCTATTGTGAATTCACGCTGGGATTCGAAGCTGCCCTGTCTTAGTGACAGTTATATTATTTCAAAAGGTATTTTACATGTGAAAAAGCTTCAGGTTTGGAATACTAGGCAGTTTATGGCAGATATTTCTAACTGCACTTTTTCTAGTTCACACTGATAGTAAAATGGGTGCGTCTAGACTGGCAAGATTTTGCGCAAAAGCAACCGCTTTTGTGCAAAATCTTGCCAGCTGTCTAAACTGGCCTTGAGAATTTGCACAAGAACACTGACGATCTAATGTAAGATTGTCAGTGTTCTTGCGCAAGAACTCGGATGCTCCCACTATGGAAAAAGCCCTCTTGCGCAAGTGTTCTTGCGAAAGAGGGCCAGTGTAGACAGGGACAAGAATTTTTTGCATAAGAAATCCCAGATGGCGAAAATGGCCACCGGAGATTTCTTGCACAAAACTGTGTCTATACTGGGCACAGATGCTTTTAAGTAAAGGCACTTGTCAATGTAGACGCTCTTTTGCGGAAATACTTTTAACGGAAAAACTCTTCCGTTAAAAGTATTTCTGCAAAATCATGCCAGTCTAGACGCAGCCAATGTGTAGAAGTTTTTGTTTTCTAGACACATTTTAAAAATACAGTAAAAATAGCAATTGGAAATAACTTAGAAATAGGAGCATTTTTTAGATTTGTTAAATAGTTATACTTTTACTAGTGGGCTTTTGAGGTTGTCTGTGATTGTGTGTATAATCCAAAAAAATTGTAAGAACAAAAGTGGGGCTGTAAAACTCCTTAATGTCTTTCTGCATGAGGCTATTACTTTAAGTTCATATTCTCTGAAATATATAGAAATTGATATAGAGAACAGAAATGTGTTTTAAGTACAACTGCATAGCCTCATCCAAATCTGCTTTGAAATGTAACATCCATCAGACCAAAAAATAATTTTTATTAGATGACTTAATTTTCCATCTCTAATTTCTTAAAAGTTAATCCAAGATTTCAAATAGATAACCTGATATTATTATTAACTTCTACACCTAAACAAATATTCTGGTATTGATTCAGGTTATATATCTATTTTCTTTCCCTTTAAAAGTAAATAAATGATATAATTGAAATTATTTTAGAATATTTATCATGTGGCTATATATACACACAAAATGCCAGCATTATGAAATGTTAATATATCATTTTACCTACCTTAATTGAGCTTGGATAATGGCTAATATATTTTACTGCAACCCAACCTCTGGAATGGGGATCACCTAAGAATTCTATGTGATTGCTTTGAACATATCCATCCAAATCATATGTCACATATTGTCCGTTAAGAGGATCAGGACAAAGTATGCCAGGCCATCTTTAAAAATAAAAATTGGAGACACTTAGAAATGTACATTTTACAACAAGAGAAATCCATACATCAGTAACCACCAAATATTTAAGTTTCTTCCAATCTGCAATACCCTAAAGAGTCTAGCACATTTTAATGATCTATACAATAATAAATACAGGCAGTCCCCAGGTTACGTACAAGATAGGGACTGTAGGTTTGTTCTTAAGTTGAATCTGTATGTAAGTCGGAACTGGCGTCCAGATTCAGCCACTGCTGAAACTGACCGCCAGTTCTGACTTACATA